GATACAAGGGAGAAAAGAAACAAAAAAAGGCCATTTTTTAGGCCAAGGACATTTTGCATATTAGACTCTTGGGGCTTGTAGAATTTTCTATAACTGTACCCTGATTTGATATGAAATGTTTTTGCCAATGTGCAAATTTGAAAGTGCAACCATAATAGGAATTTACCACAAAATACAATAACGTACAGCTTTAGAGTTATTTTGGATTATGTGTAATACAGTACTGCTATTTCAAAAGAAACTACATGGATCAATATAAGAGAGGCAAAATTTATTTTCATGTTTGGTCTTCTTTTTTTGCCTTTAACTTTACTGAAGTACCAGTTGAAAATTTTAGAAAAGAAAGGTCATGGTGACCAAGAATTTTAGATAATTTAGAACACTTGCTTAACCCCATCAATAAGTCCTCCTGGCTCTTCCACCGAAATAGACCCAAATCGGTTCATTCCTCTTGTGTCCATTATTATCATCCAAGCCAATCCAACATTACCTCTCACCTGGACTTCTGTATTAGTTTTCTAATTTGCTCACTATAGCTGAAAGGAAAGATTTGCTATAATTGTTCAGATGAGATCAGAGATTAGCAGTTGAGATACAATTTAGATTTTGAATAAAATAAAGGAAACTCAGCTATGTTTTACAATAAGAGCCTCTTCGTTTCATTAGAATAAAAGCTAGGCCGAAAAGTGGTTATTGGGTAGTCCACTACCACAGGGAAGAATAGAGCTTTAGTTTGAACTATTTCAGAAAATTATAGAAGTAGTTACTGTCAGATTTTTTAAGATAAATCACTGAGAACAAGAGCCTTTCAACTAAATAGTAAGTCAGATTTTTTAAGATAAATCACTGAGAACAAGTATCTTTCAACTAAGTATTAAAGTAGCTCAAGAGGGAAATTGTTGCATTCTTAGCAATAAGAATAAATTGTCATCATAAATAGCTGTTGTCTCAGACTAATAGACTAATAGAGTACATATATGATATGCAGAGAGTAAAATCCATTTTAACTTTATGATGGCAAGTGTTATTTTTCTTTATTTTCCACATTTACTAGAATGGGCTTCTGTTGTTTACATGATCAGGGAAAAATGTTTATTATTATTTTAAATAGAATAATACAGTTTGGTTCCTTGCTTTAAAGTCACTTTTATCTAAGGAGGGGATTACAGGTACAAATTTTATTATGCTGCAAGGCAGATAGGACAGTTTGTAAGAGCTGCCATTAGTCTTTAGGTGAGGTTGCATGTTTTATACAAAAGAGTTACTACTTTTATTTGGGAAAAGAAAACAATTTGAAGGTAAAGAGATTATAAGAATTAAAAGTACAAGTGAAAAGATTAACCTTGGCAGGAAGGAAGGTCTGTCTTTAAAAACAAACAACAAAACCCCATCCCACACATTATTATTTATTGAAAAATTTTATGGTACATATTCTAGTCTTAGGTCTTAAAGTTGGAAGCTGAGTTGTTAAATTATAAACTAACAAAGGCTCTAGTAGGGGCAATACAGATTTATTTACATAAGCTCCTGGAATACTTTAAAGCTTGAAGGATCAGCTTGAAATAGATAAGGGAAACAATGACATATTTGGTATAGATGAAAACATGAGATTAAAAAAAGTATATAAATTACTGGTCAGCTTTAAAACTTCTTTTATTGTGTTAAAGTGAACAGTGAATCAGGCAGCCTTATTACTCTTCTACTAAAGAGAGCTTTGTTTTATCTGATTTTTCTAGAAAGGGCAATACGTCTCTTCTAGGTTTGTTTCTACTTTATAAAGTAGAAAACAAAGTAATTGGGTTAGCAAAGAGAATTATGTTAGGGATACTTTTTTGAAAAAATGCATTCATACATTGTTAAGAAGAACATTTAAAAATTTTTACAGTATCTTGAGTAAAGCCAAGACATAGTTAAAATGTAAGTTCTTTATTTAAATCACTTTTAATTTATAAATATTAATTATAAAATAATTTTGAAGAAACAGAAATGAAGGGAAAATACCTAACTTCACCATCCTAAAATAACTACTTAGGATTTTTATATATTTTCTAATACTCTTACTTATGGACATTTTTATATTTTTTTAAATATAAAATATGCTGAGAAGCATTATACAAGTTGTAAATGAGAATTAGTAAAATTCAAAGATGAAAAAATAAGAGTCTATGCCCTAAAGAGGTTAACTGCTCTCATACTCTAAAGTCAAAATATACCCTGAGCTTCTGAATGGGTTATTTTACTCCTTGGGTTTTTAAGTCTTGTAGAACCTAGGATAAAATTCTCAAACTTCCCAGTTTACTACAGAATTAGGTAAGAAGAAAGAGTCAGGATCTTACAGTAAAATAAATACTTAAATGTTTGTTGGGAACTTGAAGTTAGGTTTTAACCCAAGTTCTACCTTTGTGACTTCACTGAACTTCAAACATATTGACCTTTAAATGAATGAGTTCAGTTCACAGACCGTTAATCTGAACCTAATACGTCTAAGTTATGTGCTGTGCTTCTGGGGTATCCTTAGGTTAGATTCTTGACAAACCAAATGACCTTTGTCTAGTATTGATTCTATCCCTCCAAGCTGGTTCTCAGTGTAACAAGCTTCCCTGGCTTCTTGGTATACTTCACGTTTATTTATAGTAGAGGTTCCAGCCCATCCTAAGAGGAGGACTCCAATTTGATACTTCCGTCAGACCAGCTTTTATGGTATGCACTCATAGAATACTGATCGGTTCTCTGAGTTGAAGATTGATAAGAACAGGGCCCAGACAAGAATCAGAGCCTCTGAATAATAAAAAGCTTAGAACAGTAACCTGTAAAGCTGAAGACTTCTAGCACTTCCCTTAAAGAATTAGTTTGATAGTTTGACTCCAATAATAGAGAATTATGGTTGACTTTGTAAATTTTATCTCTTCCCAGGTCCTTCTTGGCTTTGAATTATCAGGATGACTACTACAATTTTAATTTGTTTTAGTAATAATAATTAATACATATTGTTTATTATGTGTCAGGCATTGTTTACATTTATGAAAGGTGCATACAGTAACTTTCTCAAGGACACACAACTAGTAAGTTGCTGAGTCAGAATCAACTTGTGAAAATATGACTTTAGATTGCTCACTCAACCACAACACAATGACACTTTAAAAGTATAAAGCTTTCTGACAAAAGACTTGGGTCAAGAATATATAAAGAACTTCTAAAAATCAATAATATAAGCATAATAAAAAAATGACCAAAGACTTAAAAAGAGGATGGCATATAAATGGCCCATGGGCATATGAAAAGTTGTTCAACACCATGAGTCATCAGGGAAATTGATATTAAAACCATAATGGGTTGCCACTGTAAACTCGCTATAATGAGTAAAATTTAAGACTGGAAACACCAAATATTAGCAGGAATATGGAGCAACTGAAATTATCATGCATTATTGTTGGGAATGTATAATGATAGAACCACTTTGGAAAACAGTTTGTTAAATTTCTTTGATAGCTAAACATACTATCCTGTAACCCATCAGTTCCATTCTTCCATATTAAGAGAAATGAAAGCAGTATGTCTACAAAAAGACTTGTACAAGAATATTTATGTAACAGCTTTATTCAGAATAGTCAGCAACTAGGAACAATCCAAATGCCCATCAATACAAGAAACAATAAGTGAATTGTGATGTATTTATTCAGTGAAGGACTACTTAGCAGTAAAATGAGTGAACTAATACAACAATATAATGAGTCAAATAAGTCAGACAAAAAGGGTACAAATGGTGGTTCTGTTTGATTACATGGGTATTGAAGGCCCATAACAGTCAAAACTAATTATTTGTTTAGAAACAGAACAGTGGTTACCTATTTGATGGATAGGAGGCTTAAGGGAATTTTCTGGAGTCATGAAAATGTTCCATATCTTGATTATCATGTTGGTTATGCAGATGTGTACATTTGTCAGAATTTGTTGAATTTTATATTTAAGATCAATATGTTATTGTATGTAAAGTATAAATATGTAAAGCAAAAAAAAATCAACTAGGGGGAGATTTTAGACAAGCACTAGGACAATAGAAATGACAACTGGCAACCTAACACTTGGAACATGCAAAGACACCAAGTAGCACAGAACTGTTAAATAGAACCTCAGTTGATATTCATAGTAACCAAGACAAGTTTAAGTTATATTTAATACAATTTTCTAAGAAGTTATCAAGGTATACTACTTTTAGAAAGGATTTCATTAATAATTATTATATTAAAAGTTTAGAACTAAAATGCTTAGATGTCAGTAATCTAAAATATTACTTTATGTGACACATTTCTTAGATTTTACGTAAAGAACAGTTGTGGTTAATATTAGGAAATGATTCTGGCTAGAACTAGAATGTGGTCTCTTTAGAGACTGCTAAAAAGAGAGCATGAAAAGTTTCTGTAGATGAATTTGCTTGATAAGTTCTTGAAATAGAACATTTGTCTTTATATGAACTGTGATTTAGATTCCCAGTTGTTAGAAGAAATAAAAAATGTGGCTTCTGTACTGTGTTTGTTTCAGCACTTTATAATCTAGAAATGTTAGAAACTTAGAGAGGTCATAATTAAATGTGCTAAACTATAGCAATAATTTGTCCTGATTATATTGCAGCAGGTGGACATAAATAGACAAGTTTGATGGTGGCCTGTATAGTTTCACAATATTTGTCTCTGGGGTCCTTTATAATTTCTTCCATGGCAATCAGATGTGCTTCAACTACTCAAATGATGAATTGAAATACAAGATCTGCAGTCTTTTGTTGTAAGGTTAGTCTTCAAAATGAAGGTTAACCTTTTAAGTTAGTTAGTTTGTGGTTTTTTACCTCTTTCAAGTAGGTTACTTTGTGGACTGTCATGGAAGTAGGAAACATTTTAGTTACCACACATTAACTAATGTGGTCTTTGATTTCTCAAATAAGACTGACAGCTTGGCTGTTTCTTGTTTATAGAAAACCTAATTTCTAATCTTTACATCTGTTTTAGTAATAGTTATGCACGAGTGCGAGCTGTGGTGATGACCCGGGATGACTCAAGTGGTGGATGGTTACCACTTGGAGGGAGTGGACTAAGCTGCGTCACGGTCTTCAAAGTCCCTCACCAGGAAGAGAATGGCTGTGCTGACTTTTTTATCCGTGGAGAGCGACTCAGGGACAAAATGGTAATGAATAATATACCTACTGCTATAATTTTAAGATTCTATAGAATGAATTATCTACTTAAAGTTTTGATTAGAATTGCTTAGGATCAGTGATTATGTTTCTAAGCTCTTTTAGTCTTAAAGACAGTGAAATATGCCTGTTTCTTTGCAACTGAGACTCATGAATGTATATGTGTTAGAAAGGAGCTACATTTTTTATTAGATATAATACATGTATAGTCCCCCCAGTTATTAAACCAGGTACAATCTGCCTTTCCTTCTTTCTCACTCTCCCCTAGACTAGTGGTTGATAAACTGTAGTCCACCAGGAATATCCAGGCCTGCCACGTGTTTTTGTATGACCCATGAGTTAAGAATGGTTTTTACAGGGCCCCTGGGTGGTTCAGTCGGTTAAGTGTCTGCCCTTCAGCTCAGGTCATGGTCCCAGGGTCCTGGGATCGAGTCCCGCATCGGGCTCCTTGCTCCTTCTCCCTCTGCCTGCCATTCCCGAACCTCCTTGTGCTTGCTCTTGCTCGCTCGCTCTCTGACAAATAAAATCTTAAAAAAAAAAAAAAAACAACTTCTTCAAGTTTAAAAAAAAAGAATGGGGGGCACCTGGGTGACTCAGTTGTTAAGCATCTGCCTTTGGCTCAGGTCATGATCCCGGGGTGCTGGGATCGAGCCCCACATCAGGCTCCTTGCTCCACGGGGAGCCTGCTTCTCCCTCTCCCACTCCTGCTTGTGTTCTCTCCCTGCTGTGTCTCTCTCTGTCAAATAAATAAATCTTTAAAAAAAATGATTTTCACACTTTTTAATGATTGAAAAAAATTTGAGGAAGAGTAATAATTTTGTGACATATGAAAATTACATAAAATTCAAATTTCAGTGTCCATAAATAAAGTTTTTTGCAACATAGCCCTTCTTTTACATTTTGTCTTTGGCTGCTTTCATACTACAATGACAAGTTGAGTATTTTCAGTAGAGACCGTAAGTATCTGGACCCTTATAGAAAATTTTACTGGCTCCTACTCTGGAGTCTGTTTTCTCAGGTTCTTTCTCTTCATTCTCTATTTTTTTTTTTAAAAGATTTTATTTATTTATTCATGAGAGACAGCGAGAGAGAGGCAGAGGGAGAAGCAGGCTCCCAAGGAGCAGGGAGCCCGATGCGGGACTCGATCCCAGGACCCTGGGATCATGACCTGAGCCGAAGGCAGACGCTTAACCATCTGAGCCACCCAGGCGCCCCTCTCTTCATTCTCTATTAATCTAGTTATTCTAGGCTCATAAGACTACCTGGTTGCCAGACTAGGTTTTAACACTACTGTCTTCTACCCAGATGAGTGTTTTCTTCCATCTGTGTATTTTAAAATTTGAATCTAAACTTTGATAATGTTAGATATTTACTCTCTTTTAATTGGTGTGGAAAGCTCTTTTTTATTTGTGAGCCAAAAAACAACTGCAATCAGGATACCTGAAAAGCTGAGTAATGTTAATGTCATTTCTGCATCAAGCAAAAGGAAAGCATACACTTAGAAGCAGAATTAGAATAAAATGCCAAAAATTTCCAAGACTCTTAAAAATAACTAGAATTCCCTTTAAATATGTAATTGTGGACTAGTTTGTAAGCCCATTTAGTTAGCATCAATAATGTTATTTCTATTGAAAATGTGTTTTAAGTTCCAAAAAATTCTTTCAATACATGAACATTTTGAATAAATCTACTTTTAATTCTGGTTTGGTTTCTGGATATTTTTTATTACTGAATTATTTTGGTAATTTAGAAAGTTGCCCAACTTGTCTGTCCCCCAGTTTCTGCCTCAGTTAAATGGAGAGTTACCCTAAATCCTCTTGAAAGCTTTCCAACTCCGTTTTTTGAGTTTATGATTCGTTCCTGATAATGTATCTCAATTAACCAGAATGTGGTTTTAGGATTGTAGGAAATCCCAGTTGAAGTCATAAGTGTATATAATAAATTTAACATGTCATCTCTAAAAGTTTAAATATTTAAGGGTGGTTTTGAGTTTGCATAAGATGGTAGATGGCATATACTAACACTTATTTAAATAAGCCTTGTAAACTGCTAAGAAAGAGCCTATGGTGACCTGTCCTGGAGTTTATGCTTCTTGTCTGAGCTAATAATAATGGGAATGTTGTTGGAGGAGAGGTTGTAGATTTTAGGAACTGAGTGAAATAGTGAAGATTTAAGGCATGTTTTAGCTTTGTAAAAATAGGAGAAAAGAAGACAGAAGTCAAAGGTGGAGAAAGAGTTGGAGAAAAAAGCTTGCTAGAAAAAGCATAAAAACAAGGAAAAGATGACCTAGATGTGAAGTAGAGAAAAGGAATAATCAGAGTGAAACAGAATATTAGTTATATTAATGAAGGTGGACAGTTTACTTCAGGATAATTAAATATGGGACCAAGTCTGCATTAACTAGGAGTGAAAGTAACCATCAATCCATCAGATTGATGGATTAGGTGGTTACTCAGAGTGTGGCTTTGACATAAAGCTAGTGAGAATAAAACGGATTCAGAAAGAACACACGGAAACTTACTTCATTATGTCAGGAGTTAATTTGAGCCCATAACCTAATCCTAGGGTAGAGAATCATAATAGACCAACAAGAAAATAGGTTTTTCTGATAGAAGCACTGGACCCAGGAATCAGAACATCTGTTGTTTCACCTGACCATTCTGCCTAGAAGAAACTTATTTGTGAAACATGGATGATAAGTATATCTCTGTGTAGACATAAAAGACAAATTACTTTGAGTTGGAGGGTTGCCATTTTTCTTGTAGGGATTAGCCTATAGTAAAGAGTTTTAGGTGATGGGGACTTGTGTGATCAAAGGCGGAGGCAGTAATGCATGGATATAAATTGAAAACAGCAAAGTCTTATGGAATCTCAAGACAAATGGGACAGGAACATTGAAATAAGCACATTATTTGGCCCCCTCTCTTGGGTATGCACATCTGACCAAGATAATTCTGAAGCAATAACAGAATTGAAGTATATATCTTTTTCATTATCACTGTATTTTGGGATCATTAATGTCCTTATCTATAGATACTTTTATTGATTGGTTTTATTTTAATCCATTTTTCTGGATTTTAGTTTCATGATTTATCTAAAAAAGAAGTAGTACCTTATGACTGTCGAGTCTATAATTTTACAAAGTTCTTCCCAAGTTGATGGTTTTCTTTAAAATCCTTGGTGAATAAACTGCAGTTAACCATGCAATAGTTAATCATGTAAAAGATACTTGGTAAAAACTGTTCTCTACCCATTTTTTATGTGAGTCACATTGTAGAATCATCTACCTTAGATGAATTATAGAAATGAAGTGAGATCCCTGCCTTTCATACCCTCTAAGAAAACTTGTGCCCTTTAAGAAAGGATCGATAATTAGTAATCTGAGAACACTTGTGTAGCTAATAAAGAAATACTAGATAATACTTTAAAGAGTGTATATAAGTCAGAATACTGGTTAACAATAGTGAAGAAGAAAGATGGCTTTTCTCAAAGGTAAAAGAAGCACTTTGGTAGAAGACTTTTTCCAGTCTTTGATTTATAGTTACTTGTACTAAAAATGTCTTGTTACACTTCCCAAAGGGTTATAGTTCGCTTTTTTTTTTTTTTTTTTTTTTACAAGAAAGGGAGCACAGATAAAGAGCAGGCTGACTGGGATTTTTTCAGGAAGGCAGGCTTTTGTGCAATGAGGTCATTCATTCCTTCATTCAGAGGATCAGAAATTATTTCCTATAATGCTTACCTGTAACTTGCCTGTTTTTCTGATGCTTACACAGGTGCAATTTATTTCTGAGGCTACACTTTCCTACTCTAAATTAGAGCTCCTGAATAGGTCAAAGTTCAGGCTGCTTCCCTCTTCACCACTAGCAGTTCCTCCTCTTTCCAGGTTGCCTTACAATCATTTTTCTAAGCGTGCCTGAGGAAAAGGTTGGAAAGTTCTGCTATACATTGACTTTCATACTTTATTGATGATTGAGAAGGAATTCAAAAGAAACACCAGGTTTTGGTGTTGTAGCCCAAGATAATGAAATACTACCTTTCATTAGGTAATAATGACACTTGGGGATGGGTGGAATAGTTTTGACAAGGATGGATTCTCAGAACTGCTTTTTTTTTTTTAAATTTATATGAATTATAGCCTCCATTTCCTTCTAAATCTTTACAGCCTTGATTTCTCCAATAAAAGCTAGTGTTAGCTTGGATCACATTATTAGAAATGCTAACTAAAATTTAACTGTTAATTTGGGTAGATAATCTTCACTGTAGAGCTTCACATTTCCCATGATAGAAACTTTTTCTTTTGAATTCAATTTTCACTAGATATAGTGACCCTTCTGTTAATATGACACTCTTACTTTATAGGCAAACATTTTATCGGAGTATTTACCATATGTATAGATTGTATTATTTGACTAAATTGCATGTGATATATAAATTTGAACACTGAATTATAATATACCTTTAGAGGCTTTATGAGTACTTGAATAAACTATTAGTAATATTTAAAATTTTGCTAAAATATTACTAAAAACAGTTTTTAATTATCATGGGATTCTAAAATAACTAAAATAATTTTATGTAGTAGACAATAAAAATACTACAAATTTACTAATTTAAAGGTATTATGCTTTTAAAAGCTTATTATATACTAAGAGATAACAAGAAATAGGGTAGGCTATATAGAAAGATAAAGTAGGACTCTTACAACATCTGGATTACTTAAAACATCCTGTGGAAACAAGAAAAAGGCACTGTGCTATGTCAAAGCAAAGTTAAAGATATCATTATAAGCTTAGAGTGACAAAGTAATATTAAAATGAAGAAAGGAAAAATAAGAAACATTTCAAGTTTTAAGAATTTGCCAGAGATTTAAGGAATTGTTTTTTTGATAAGTAATTAGGTTGTGGATAAAAATGATTATAAAAGTTAAAATGCCTATATGATAATAGTTCTGTTGTTTAAAAAGACACATTTTTAAAATGGGGTTTCTTTC